GAAAGAAAGAAAGATCCCTTTCTCTATTTTGGCCAATATTTAAAAAAAAATAAAAAAAATAATGTGCACTATTCAAAGCTGTCTATCGGTGTTATTTCCATATTCCCGAGGTCCTATCAAAGCAGTTTGTTTTCACGTTTCTCCTCCACGCCTTTCAGGAGAGTCAGTAAGAAAATGCTGGGGGAGATCAGAGCTGCCCTCCCTTCTCACAGCTCCATCCCATCCACAGTGTGTGGGGGTGCGATATTCCTGCCAGAACTTAAAGGAAAACTCATTGCTTCAGTGGCATTCACCACCTTTCCCCTTCATCTGCAGCCATCACTTTCTTGCCGGCCCTCCCGTGCGATGCAAAAAGTAAACGGGGAAAGCACGGAGGAACTCACATGCAATCGGTTTGGCGTTATTAACGACGAGATCCTTATTAATTTTGGCGGGGGGAAGTGTGGTTTGGAGGAAACGCGAGGTGATTTTGACCTCTGGTCATGTTCTGAGCCTTGCACACGAAAACCAAACGAGGCGCCCATATATAATGTTTCCAGACTCACCTTTTTTCCCTCCTTCCATTCCCAGTGTCACGAAAACCTTTGGCAAAGGGGTTGTTGTCAATTTTTAATTGAGTGATCTACAGGGAAAGAAAAAAAGAAATCCAAAAGCGGGGTTGGGGCAGAAAGGAGATTTGATAAAAGAATGACCGACACGACCTCCTCCTCCCCACTTCCCACCGCCCAGGCAGCAGCACCCGATGCACAGGGTGGGATTTGGAGGTGAATCCTTGCATTTTGGGGCTGGCCGTTGAGTCGGGCAGTGGTGGCATTGAAAGAGCCCCACATCGCCGCCGCCGCATTGGAATTCAGTTAGCCGTGCAACGCGATCCATGCGAGTTATGCCTGCGCTTAAACTCTTTAAATGCCATAATTAAACCACAAAGGAATCATGCCCACCCCCTCGCTATAATAAAATACTTCGTATAATCGCATTATGCCCCGCGCGTGTGCATGTGTTGGGGCTCTGGGGGTGCCAGGACCGGGCTGATTTGGGCTGGCAGGGATTTCAGCAGTCGTTTGGGGGATTCTATGGGATCTGGGCTTGCTCCACAATTTCCAGTTCAGGAGGAGAGTGGGATCCAGTGAGCAAACAGCTTTGGACCCTGAGCAGCACCGGCTCCCAGGTTCCCCCCTCCAACTCTTCCCACACACGTAGACAGGAGAGAGCAGTGAAAACCCTCAGCAGAAGAGGTGAGACCCTCAACTATGCGATCTGGGCAGTGCTCCTGACCTCCATTCCCCAACCCCCCCGCGATATCAGAGCATTTGGCCAGAGCTGCTGCTCCATGCTTCCAGCTGTGGGACGGGCCGGACAGCCCCATGTGTAACTCCCTAAGCAAAGACTGCTCTGCACGCGTTCACCTTCCTTTTTCTTGTGAAAAGGTGAGCAAAGCGAGAGCAGTGTGTGCAGAGCACTGCCAGAGAGGGGATATGAGGAAAGGAAGGATGCAGCCCCTCCTTATGCCTGGCTCTGGGCCGTGGGGGATGGCAGCGGACAGAGAGACGGAGCGAGCGGGGTCTGCACAGCTCTGCTCTTCAGGCACATGCACACCAAGTTCTAATTTATAGACAGCAAAATAAGAGCCCCTTCTTGGCTCTTTCACTTCCTTCCACTTGACTTAATTATCGTAAATTCGCCTTTTGCCAGGCTCCCAAATGTACCACCTTCGTTGAGAGCAACAATAAAGTGGCAGAAATGTGAAGGCAGCGTCTGCAGCGCTGCAAACTTTCTTGCCCTGTCTCTGTGAGACCTTCCAGCTCAATTCGAGCGAGATACTCCTCTCTGATCAGAGCATATTTCTGCACCACAAAAAATAATAAAACACTGCAGGATGAAAAAAAATATCATAATATAATAATAATAGGAACCAGACGTGCGCTCCAGCCTTATTGCCAATTGCTGTTAAAGGAGCTAAAACAGCACAAAGGCCAGGAAGAATTACAAAATCTCCAGCCACGCTGCTCTCCCCCCCGTCTTTCGACACACGGATCAGATTCTTTTTCTGATGCGTCTTAGATTAAATCCACACTGAAAGCAGCGATCCCCACCCCATCCTGCCCCGTTTCCCCACACCGGGGAGCAGAAAAAAAAAATGTATATCCAAAGCACCCCCCCCCTTACACACACGCACACAGCCTTCCTTTTAATTGCTCTGCCCGGGGTCGGCTGCGGGAGAGTGCCTTCTCCCCTCCCCCAGTGCCGTCCCGAAGTCGGAGCGGGAGGATTTGGGGGAAACGAGCTAGGGTAGAGGGAAGCGGGACGAGCCCGGTGATTTTTAAGGGAACAATGCAGAGTAAAAGCTCTCTGAAAAGCCAAAACACGTAAAACAAATCCTTTCTTAATCTCCTTACCTTATCATTCTGGTATGCGGTCACTGCGATGAATTCAGTCTCCGGGAACACGTAGGTCCGGAACGTGCTGTAGGGAAGCTTGAGAATATCGTTCGCTCGGACGATGTGGAAGCGGGGCTGGTACTTATGCATGGAGTTTAAAATGGTCTGCGGTGCGGAGCGGCCGGGGGGGTAGGGTGGGGGGAAAAAGAACAGGGTGAGAGCCAGCAGCACCCGCTCGCGCTGCCCCATGCTTTCTCCTCATTTGCGAACCCCGAGCGCACCGCAAACACACGCACACGCCGCGCAGCATCCAGCACAAAGCACTGACAGCTCCAACTCTCCCGCTGGACGCCAGAGGAGATCTCCCGCGGGGGGGAGGAGGGGGGAGGGTTTCTGCGGGGGTTATTTGGGCTTCGGACGCAACGGCTTTAGATTTCAAGGCGAACCAAAAGAAAATAAAAATAAAGCGGAGACAGCAGCTACAATAGCAACGCCACCACGAGCGCCTTGGTCAGGTCTAATTGCTCGCCTCAATCCACTTAAGGCCTTCTGCGAGAGGCAAGAGCGGATCGTCTAATCGAATCATGGGCAGCGAATGCAATCTTCGGCGCATTAGAGATCCCCCGACCGCGGCCACCGCCGCAGCCCCGGCTCCAGACTTTCCCAGGAATAGAAAGAAATGGCGAGGAGCGGCGGGCACTTATCAGCAGTTTGTTTGATTTCACTCGCAGGGGGAGCTTTTTATCTCTGCACACCCAGTAAATGTAAAGGAGTGGATAGACATGAATGGGCAACTTGACCTTTGCTTTTGGTTCCTGTTTATTTTCACTCTGGCTTGCTTTACGTTATCCAGATTAATATATATTTAAATGTTTGCATACTTAGGCCTTTAAGCCCTTTATACACATATGCATATCATTTTCCTATGCTTAAAAAGTGTGATCGTCTCTATTAAAAATATATTACATATATGTATATATATCAAGCCAACGCAGCTCTGAGATATATCGAGTTGCACTATGCTGGAAATGTATCTCTAAAGTTTATTCTGAACGGTACGGATTGGGTGTTTGGAAAGCTTACAGAATAAACTCGCTTGTTTAATCCTGACCTCGGCAACAGAAAAAGAAAGGAACATTTTAACCGGACACAAACACACCAGCCGGCTGCATGCAGGGGCTGTTTATTCCCCATTTTCCACACGTTTGGTGCCCAAATTGTAGTGCCTGGGAAAGCTCAGGGCCGGGCACTGCAGGGGAACACTGCTTGGGGAGAGAGGAAAAGGACTCACAAATCCGTGCTTGTCGGAGATGTTGTTAGTGAGCTTCAGCTTGTGAAAGGTGACGACTTTGGACATCCATTGTTCTCCAGTGGCCGGGCTGTCCGGGTGGATGTACATTCTCTTTGGCATTTCAGGGTCAGCTTTGCCAGCTACCATCCACCGGGAATTATGGAATTTGTACCTACAGTCATCAGCCGCCACAATATCCATCAATAAAATGTACTTGGCCTTTTTATCCAGTCCAGTGCATCTCACTTTAAACGGAGGAAACATTCTCCTACGGGCAGAGAAGGGGAGATAAAGAAAAGACGAGACGAAAGGGAAAAAAAGAAGAAGAAGAATCACAGTGTTGCAGTGAGCACCTAAAGCTTGGTGGCCCTCGTCCCTCAGAAGCAGAAATCTGCCCCCGCCCCCAATGCAAAGATTTCTCCAACGCTCCCAAGTTGCAGGAGAACGCCGTCCCTCGGGTGGGACACAGAACGTACCCCTGGTGGGCACCCACCTCTCCGTTCCTAAACAGCAAAGCCTCGTTCAGCCCTCTCGGATCTCTCATTATCTATAGATATATTTCCCTCTGTTAAACAATAGGAGCGGATCGCGCTCCAATTAAAAATATTCCTCACTTCTATGACCGGCTCCGTCGTTAGAGAGCAGAAGGGGGGCTTTTTTAATTAATCAAAGAGGAGAGGAGCCCACGGTGAGAGCTGCGAGGTCCCAGCGGCTGCTCACACCTCTGTACAGAGGCTCCCTGAGAACCGCGCTCCCCTCTGCTCCCAAGTCCGGCTCCAAACTGCAACAGGATACCACAAATTTGCTGTTTATTATATCGAGCGGTTGGCATTCAGCAAGCCCAACTTAAAAGGAAACACATGACTTTGCAACACGTAAGAGCGCCTAACATTCGCCGAGCCTTTCGAGCAAAACTTTCGGCCACAATTAAGAGAGAAAACTTGGGGAAGGCAGCGAAGCGGGCTGTTTGTTTTTTCCCCCTGCTGATCTCGGGGCTTTTTTTCCCTAAGCCCTCAGCCTGCAGCCGGCGCTGTGCGGGGCTGAAGCCGCAGCACGGCGACCCGAGGCGGCTCTCAGGAGCGGTTTCTCCCCCGGCCGCTCTCCTTGCAGACGGCACGCCGCTCGTTTGCTGCCTTCCCCAGTGCGCTTTACAAACACGGCCGAGAGAGAAGGGTTCGCTCGCTGCGTGGCATCACATCCATAGGTAGAGTTATAAAAGAGCACAGACAATTAGGAGCGAATATAGAGAGGGATTTCAGATGTGTAAACCTATAAAATGCTGAAATGCGGAGCGCGATACGCGCCGTGTGCGTTCATTCATTCGCACGTGAAGGTTATATAAATACATGGACACGCAGCGCGCTCCTGCAGGAGCTGCAAACCCTTCCTTACAGCAGCGCGGGTGCTTTTCGCCGCTTTTTCTGCATTTCCAGACATAATTACTCAGCAGAAATGCATGCCTGTATCACGGCAGAGACACAGGCACAAGCGAGGCAGCTGATAAACAGAATCTCCCTGCCCTCCTGCAGCTACCACCTCACCAGCAGAGAGACGTCGCTACAAATATTTTTTGCTACATTTCCCCTTCTCTCCATGAAAGAAGAAATACCGCGTGCAGCAAGGCTGCAATCAGGCCGGCGCCTTTTCCAGCCCCAAATTATTTTCTTTCTGCTCCCAGAAAGTATTAAGCTGCTGAACCATGAAGAGCCCCTCTCGCCCCCTGTGCACGCACCGAGAGCGGCCGGTTCGTGGTTCAATAGTTGAGCCTTTCCCCGGAGTGCTCTGCCCGCAGCGGGGCTTAGCAGTTGCCTCGCACTTCTCCTAATTCCTGATGAAATGAGCTCGATGGAGACAGTGCCGAATAAAGCCCTGCTCCGGAGCAGGCTGCCGGTGCAAAGACCGAGGGGGTAGGGAGCCCGAAAACCCAAGCACGACCCCCGCCCCACACCTACCTTCCCGATTTGGTGATCACCATCTCCGTGCCTCTTTTATGGAATTGTTCCCAAAGCTCTTTGGCTTCCAGGTGCACTTTCGGGTCGTCTTCTACTTCTTCTTCTGGCTCCAGAGTTTTTAAAGGCCTCAGATGGGCTGCTGCCTGGTGGCCCAGGGAAGAAAAAGGGATAGCAGTCTCTGCAGCCCCCACTAGCTGATCCATAATGGGCTTAGCCAGGGCCCCGGGGAGGGAAAGGGCGGCCGCCCCGTTGGGGGGCAAAGCCAGGGCCGGGAAGAAGGGGGGCTGATGTCCCAGCACGGCGCTCATGGCAAAGTCCGGTGCCCGGTGAGGTAAAAAAGGATGATAAGCCATGCTTGTCCCAGGGATCACTGGATCTCTCATCGGTATATTCATTCACTCCACTCCTCGATTTTCCTACTCCTGGAGTAGTCCTGGAGTGGTTTCTAACAGCACATCATGAAGAAGAAAAATTAAGATAATAACAATAACAACGAGAAACCACCAAAAAGAAAAAAAAAATAAGGTGGGGGGAAACAAGCTCTAAACAGCACAGTACATGGGGGAGAGGCAGAACTTCTACAGCCTACAACTTCCCGAGCCGGGACACATCCTCGGCCCTCGGGACAACAGGATAACAGGATTGTTCATTATTCGTCTTGCTTTCTGTGTTGTTGTTCTCCCTCTGCGGCTTTTTTCCCCGAGTTGAAGTCCTTGCGCTTGAAAAGCAGTGCCGAAGAAGGGGAGAAAAAAATCCACCGGAGTCGCTGCGTGCTCCCGTTGCCGCGGAAGGGCTGGACAAGCCGAGATCCTTTTTTTCCTCTTCTTCTTTTTTTCTCGTGCTCTCAGTCCCTCTTCTCTTCTTCCGTCGCGGAGGGTGGCGGCTAGAAGCCGGGATCGCTTTTTGGGTCGGCTGTGTTCCCCCCCTCCCCCCCACCCCTCCACCTTTCCTCCGTACGGGCAGGCTGCAGAGCAGAAGCTGGGGAGGGAGGGAAAACAGGGAGAAGCGAACAAACCCACCCCCCCTCGCCGAGCGGGGAAGGCTCCTCAGCAACCTTCAGGCAGCGGCAGCAGCAAAACTTGTAGGGAAATCTCGTTTCCGCCTCGCCTTCCCCCGCTCCGAGCAGGAGCTGGTCACAGTGCCCTGATTTCCATCAGGATCTCTTCTTTCTTTCACCCTCCTCCTATTTTTTTTTTCCTTCCCCTTCTCTTTCTCTTTCACTCTGCCTTAAAAAAAAAAAAAAAAAAAAAAAAAAAAAAAAAAAAAAAAGAGTGAAAATAAATCTGGAAGAATGATACTCTTGTCTCCTCTCCAGCAACGCTCCAGCAAAGGAGAGAGGGAGGAAGAGAGAGGGAAAGAGAGAAAAAGGAGGAGAAGGGGGGGAGAAAGAGAGAAAGAGAAGGAGAGAGGAGAGGGAGAGAAGGAGCCTCTCAGCTCTGAGAATTCCCTGTGAGTCTGTGCTCTGCGTGCACCAGATTGTATGGATGTGTTGTGGGTTACAAGGGAGCTGGAGCCTCCTTGATTGGCTCTTTGACGCTTTCGGACCAATTGTGTGGCTCCATAGGCGTGGTTTTGACAGGTCGAGTGGAAGGGGGACAGAGCCGAGTTATAAAAAGAAGGTGTCGGAAACTGTAACGCTGCAGCAAAGCATCACTAGTACTCCGTGCCGTGTGAATATGTCAACATGATCAGAGGGGAGGGAGCAGGCGGCACCGGGCCGGGCGGCCGGGAGCCGCCTCTAGGGGGGGTTCTCGGGGCCGCCTCGCCCCCCGCCCGGCCCCTCCGTGCCCGGAGAGCGGCCCCGGCCCCGGCGAGATGGCAGCTGGGCGCTGCCGGCGCTCGGTAGGAGCTCCCGCCGCTGCGGCTCCCGGCAGCGCTGGGGAGGCGGCGGGGGCGGATCGGGTGGGGGGGGTGGGGAATGGAGGCGGCCTCCAGGCAGGGTGAACAGGGGGTCCAGCCCCGGGTGCCCCCAGTACACCTCAGCCACACCGAGCGGAGGTCTGGCCCGGCCCGCGGGAGTGGCCGGTGGGGGGAGGCGGCCGCGGGAACCTCGGTGTGCTCCCCCCACCAAGTCCCCCGAAAAGCCCCGGGGCTCCGGATCCCCTCGGGCCGCACACCCGTCCCCACTGCGTCGCTCCTTTCGCCGGTTCCCGCTGCCCCTCCGCCGCCGACTCGGTGCCCCCCCTTTCTCCCCCTCCGGAAAGTCGCTGCCTTTTAATGCAGAAAACAGCTCCAGGCCTGACCTCGGGCCGTTCCCCTCCCGACCCCCCCGTATCCGGGACCGAGACCAGGGGTGGGAAGCGGCTCGGGGACGGCAAGGCTGTGCGCTTCGGCCCGGCCGCGGTGCTAGCGGGGTGATGGCTACGAGCAGCCGGGGGCCGCGCTCCGCTCAGCCCCAGCTCGGCGGTTGCTGATCGCCTACGGACGATAAAGCGCTTTCCCCCACACCATCCCCAACTGGGAGGGGCTGAAAAAATTGAAAAATAAAATAGAATTTAAAATTTAAAAAAAAAAATTAAAAAGGGGATTATTTCTTTCTGTGCAGATGGGAGGAGTGCGGCCGCTCGGCTGGCCCCGGCGCCGAGAGGGTTAACGCTCCCACACCCCTCCTCTTCCATGAGGTGCACGGGGAGGAGACGGGAAGTGCGGCTTTCCCCGCGGCCGGGCCGCGGTGCGGGGCAGCGGCGGGCGGGGGGCCCAGGCCCGATTCCCCCTCTCGGTCCCTCTCCCTGCGGGGCAGCCCCCACGCGTGGGTCCCCGTCTGCCCCGATCCGCTTGCCGAGTTTCTGGGAAATGTGTTCCCGGGGCGGGGAGTGGGGGGGTGGGTGACAGTGCGGGGCCAGCAAGACGGGTCTCGTGCGAATGTCAGTGTGTGCGGGGAGTGTGTGTCCGTGGGTGCGCGTCCGCGGGTGGCCGTGCGTGTCGGGTGGGGGCGTGGGTGCGCAGGGCACGCGCGTTTCGGGCGGTGCCAGGAGGTGCCTGATCTCCCCGCTCCCCACGTCGTGCCTTAAAAGAGGGGTTGATAATCCTGCGGGAGGGGAGCGGGGAGAGCTGCCTGCGCGCAGATGGGAGCGGAACCTCTAAAGTGATTAGCTCTTCTAGCATTGCATTTTTGACGCACATGGTTAAGAGCGCTTGGCGCCAGCTTGGTGAAGTCCCTGTAGTAACCAGCGTCTAGGATCGCTTTGCATTCACCAAAATATCTCCCCTTCGGTCGGGGGTGGGGGTGGAAAGAAGGGAGGAGGAGGGAGGGAAGGAAGCGGGAGTAATGCATTCAAAGAAGATGTAGGGAAAAGACAAGGGCGGGGGTGGGGGGGAGCGTGATGTATTTCAAGGAACTAGAGCTTAGCTGCCCGCGCAGCGTTCGCCTCGGCTGCGGAGCGGAGGGAGCGAGAATTCTCGAGAGCTCTGCTCGGAACCGGGGCCTGGGCTCCCGCCTGCAGCCGCAACGGGAACCCCAGAACCTTCCCCTGGCGGAACCCACAACAAACGCCCGAATAAGCTGTTGTACGTTGGCGGAACGGCTCGGAGAAACTTGGCCGCAATTTGCCCCAAGCAGGCCGCAGCTGTCTGCCAGGGACCGGGAGGTGCCCTCGGGCTCTCGCAGGACAAGCGCAGCCGCTCCCAGAGCCGCCTCGCCCCGCTCCCCGCGCCCGCCCCGCCGGTACGCGCCCTCGGGGCCGCGGTGGAGGCCGGAGCCGTTGGTGCCCTCCGCGCCCGCCCCGCACTTTGCGCAGAGCTCGACACCCACCCGCGCGGCGGCCCGCGGTTGGAAATGAAGCGTTTGCCGCTTATGATTTCCAATGTCAGCGTCTGGCTGATGGCGTGCAAACTTCCGCCAGTTCCGAGTGACCTCCCCGACGAAGCCCCCTGGAGACTCGTATTATGAAGGGAGGCTGCACTAATCTAAGATCAAAAGCGGGAAGGTGCGAACAGTCTTTGTCTCCCTTCGGCCGCCTCGTTCCCCCTCCTGTGTGTGATAAATCTACCCTGGCGCCGACTGCGCGCTGGATGATTAATTTGCAAGCAAACAAAAGGGGACCTGATGGCCAGCCATCTTAGTTAAATATTGGCCAGTGGTTCCAGCTACTTGTTAGCCGCCTCTTTGCCAGAAATAAATAAATAAGCGACGCGCGGAAATAAATAAATAAGGAAGTCAGCAAAAACGGAGAGCGAAAGGGGAGGAAAGAGAGTAAGGCAAAAAAAAAAAAAAAGATCAGAGCGAAGGGCCGGGAGCCGAGCGGAGGTGGGAACGGGTCTGTGGGGGCTGTGGTGGGGGGAGGCCGGGTGATAGCACGCTGAGATAGCCGCCTGCCCCCGGCCCGTCTGCAGGCCGCGCTGTACCAAGGCCGACACTATCTTGGAGCTTCAAAGAGCTATGAAAGGTCCCCGCTGGCTCCCCGGGCCGCGGCTCTCTAATCTCGGAGCGCAGGAGCCAAAGGCCGGGTCGGGGGGAGCGACTCGCCGGGTCCGCAGCACCCCCGGCCACTTCCCGAGCCGGGAACATCACTGCTTTTTCCCTGGTTCAGTGCAGGCCGGAGGGAAAGCAGAGTTATCTTGGCTGCTGAGCGGCTGCGAGAACTCCGTTCGCTCAGATTTCGCCCTCCTAAGCAACTTTTTAGCGTTTGCACGAGAGATAGGGGCGTGTGGTAAGCCTCTCCCGGTAGCCCGAAGAGCCAGCTGGAGGGAGAAGGCAGGAGGAAAAGAATGGCAGCGCGACTGCAGAGCCCACACGTCCTCTCCCAAGCCTGCGGGAGCCGCTCCAAGGCGTGTGTGCGTGCTGTGAGCACCGTATGCGTGTGCAGGGGAGGCTGCGTGGGTGTGCGCGCCCCGGGGAGGGGGGGGCCGTGAGCTGAGTGCACCGCAAATCCGTGATCCAGCAGCGAAAGCCGGGGAGTCTCCTTGCACCCCCTGCGTGCCGGGCTGACAGAAGTGCTCGTGGGTGCTGTGCAGGAGGGAGCGGCCAGCACGCATCGCAGCCCCACACACCGCACCGGTGGGACTTTCCGTCCTGCGTTTCCTTATGGCACTGCAGGTCTGAGCATCCCTCTCCTCTCAGGCACCTCCATCTCCTCCAGCCGCAGCCTCCGCTCGGCCCCCAGCCCTCGGAAAGCAACACGCAGCCGCGGTCGAGCTATGTTTATCCCAAATAAAATGCAGTGGGCTCGTTTACTTTGGCAGCTTTGCCGTAAATACTCGGGGGGCGGCGATGACGCGCTTATTCCGAGCTCTGCTCCTCCAGAGAAAGGTGTCAGGAGCTGAGGCTGGTGCTGGCACTGCTCCGTCCCTGAGCGGCACTGCAGGCCTCGGGCACAATGAAACGGGTCCCTGTAGGGCGAGTCTGTACACTCAGACCTCATGAACTGCTGCGGGGGAGGGAAGGGGGTCACCGCGGCAGCTCTTTGCCTTCCCTTCGGCAGAGCTCTTCCTGCAGTCGCCGGCTGAATTTTAGCTAAAACCTAACCTGAACGCTTTGTAAAATAACCTGTCCGAGTCCAAGGGAGTATGGCGAGGGATTAGAAATACAAGCAGGAAAAAAAAAACCAAAACAACAAAAACGAACCCGATGCACATTTCTCTTTGGCCGGGCCACCGGTCCTCTTTCCTGAGGCTTACAGGACTGGACGGAGCTGGAGACAATTTTATACACACCTCCCCGGGGCACCAGAAAAAATACAAGTGAAGAGCGTGGTTGGAGAAAGGTTCTCATCCTCCAGCTGTCTCTGGGGTGTGTCCTTGTGGGAAAGACTGCAGTGTCCCGGCACGGCCCGGCACAGCATAGCGCTGCCCGGCCCAGCTCGGCACTGTCCGGCCTGGCACACGGCCTGGCTCCTGTTCACTGCCAGCTCAACAGCCAGCAGGGACACCAGGGTCCTGTATAATTTTGGAGCCCTCCCAAACAACATAACCACATCCTTGCAGCAGGACCCGCTGTCACTTGGTCCCCATCCCCAAACAGCTCTGACGCTCTCCAGCCCCATCCATTTTGCCACGGATGGGAGAAGAAAACGAGAGGGCACTCAGAGGCGAATCCCCACCCCAGAGCACCCCCCCCACCCCCGAACCCGGGCTGCTCCCCCAGCCTTGATCCTGCAGTGTGCTCTTAGCAGAGGCGCAATGAAAGCCCCGCTCCCCCCCCCCCCCCCCCCTCCGATCCTTCTGCTCCCACCACCGCTGGCTAAGCAGAAATTGTAAATAGAGTTCGCTATTTGGATAAAGAT